ATATATATATATATATATATATATATTCACTGACCTCTCCCTCTGTAGGTGAACCTGAGCTCATTTTACTGACACAGAAGGCCTTCTTCTTTGTGTGAGTGTTGTACACTCGCATAACCCTGGAAGAGAAAAATAAATAAAGAGTATAAACCTGCTGAAAACAGACAGTCAGTCACTACACTGATGACACCCAGCACACGTAATATGATGTTAAAACACAGAGCAGCTTTTAATTACCTGTCACAGCTGAGAGTGGCAACATATTGGCCCAGAGGGTCCCAGGTCACTCCCTGAACGTAGCTTTTGTGGTCATTCAAGATACACAACTTCTGTCCTGAATACAAACATGTGCAAATAAGACAATAACAAATAAGAACTTACATCAACGAAGTCATTAATTACATAGTTGAAAGAAAATAAAAGTATCCAACACACACACACACACACACAAGTACAAACCTTTGTTGACGTCCCACATAATTGCAGTGTTATCAACAGACCCAGAAATCATGAAGTTTCCATCTCGCGTCCAGCAGATGTCGTACACGTCCTCTATGTGTCCTCTGAAAACAAAAGAGAACAACCTCAAGGTTGAGCAACCCTGTACTCAAATACATTCAGTTTCCATCCCATTTAAAAAGTAAAGCATTGCACAAGCCTGCAGACTGATAGTTTATAAAATATATTTTTATTACAACTACAAACGGGCAAATTAGAGGACTGGTCCCAAAACATTGTGAATTTTTTTTTAATATAATATTTAAAATGCAATTAAGTTTCTTTAAAATAAAATTAACAGACATGAGAGCAGGCAAAATTATTTAACTGTAAAAGCTGTTTTTAGATGTGAAAACATGTAATCTTTAGAAGGATATGGGCACAGCATCGTCTCTTTTCCAGTCCAACAGTTCACAGCTGTAATTCTTAGCAGAACGCACACTTGCCATGAATGTGCCGCTATGTTTGAACACCGTTTCAGCTGTGAATCATTTAGAGGATTTACATGAGTCATTTAAGAAACTTCTCCTAAAGTCCAGCGAAAACGCTGTGGACAACTGTTAGCGATGAGCCAGCTCTCCAAATCAGTTTCAAGACAGAAGTGCATGTCATTACTGAGAGTATAAAGTGAGATGATGTGGAAACTACCTGTACAAAAACAGACTCGTACAGATTTCATACATTTACAGACACAGGATCGTTTTGCTCCTGCATACCTCAGTGTTTTGACTACAGACCAGCTCTCTTTGTTAAGCTGAGCATCTTCATCCTCCTGAAAAACAGAAGTCTGCTCCGGCTCCTTACAGTCATTGAGCTTCCACAAAAGAATATGAGAATCTGTACAAAAAAAATAAATAAATAAAAATATATATATATTATTTACTATTTTAACTTTACTGCCCTGTATTAGACAGATAATTCCAGGTGACACACCATCTCCTCCTGAAGCTAGGAAGTCTCCATTAGGACAAAAGCGGACCACATTGACAGCCTTCGTATGTCTGGCCAAGTTAGACAGGAAGTCCACCGCTGCCTTCCCATCTGGGCCAGCGTTTACTCGCCACATCTGGAACAGCATCAGGAAAAAAAAATACAAGACAAAACAACAATAATTAACACATTCTGCCAATCAATTATGTTAGTTTATAGATGAGTTAGGTCACAGTACACTGCTATCAGAGTACAAGTGATTAGAAGGATAAAGAGCCATGCATCCTCCATCTGAAGCTGCAAAATCTGCTCTCGTTGACGTAGTTGTGCGACGAAAATTACATCATTTTGTTCTCAGAGCAGCTTTGCCCGTCCCTTCTCAACACAAGGACCGGCTGAACTTTTTCTCACTGGCGTATGCGCCAAGAATTGTGTGATTGGTCCGAAGTTTGTGTCCTATAGTTTTGAGATATTTTAAGATAAACACAGGTGATGTTAAGACAGCAGACTGTCTGCTTTGTTCTTAATAAAAGAAAAGTGTTTGTAAAGTCGTTTTGTAAGGTTTAAGTAATAAACTATTAACTATTCAGTATTGGTACTCAGTATCAGTAAGTACCCAAACTGAAGTAATTGTACTCAATCTGGAAAAAAAAAAGGTATTTGGACACCCATAAAAAAAGCATTATTTGAAAATGGTCAGGTACAAAATCTGGATGGAAAACAAGTAAGATAGCAGTCGGTGTCTAAAGAAACCATGTGAAATGTTTAAAAAGTCCTGAGAACAATACCTCAAGAGCATGTTAAAAATTACAATTTATAACTAACGTACTTACAAAAACTTTAGAAATTACTTCATGTTTCTGATTTGCTTGATGTCAGATGTTTTACATTTACACTGCATGTTTGTATGAAATTGTCTAGTCATTTATCTTGATGCATTGTTTGTAAAATTCGGGATTTATTATGTATATTTAGCTTAAATATTCCCACCAGGTCTTTTTTACCTCACTTGGCTATTAATCTTAATTGTTATGATTGTATGTTTGTTCTATGCAAATAATAAAAACAAAAACATTAAAATATTACATACGGTTCAGGAGTTTTACCCATATGTAACAGAGAAAACATATCTGGTCCCTAAAGGAAGACAAAGCACGATGCAGATGTTGAACCCTGTCCACTCACCCGGACTGTGGTGTCCACTCCAGCTGTGGCCAGGCGGTGAAAGCGTCCATCTGAGCTGTGCTGAAAGTCCAGGCTGTAGACCGGCTCCTTGTTGTGCCATGCTATCTCACAGGTTACCACCTTCATTTTCCCTAATCTGTGAGACATAAATGGACATAATGGAGACACTTGGGTAGCAAAATAAAATAAAAAAAAGGAGAAGCTAGTAATCACTTACTGACAAAAACTATCTTTAACAAACAGCAAATATAGACACATTGTTTTGAATTACACGAGGGAACTATTTTATAAAACACCAAAAAAATGAATTCGGCATTTAGTTTTAAGCTAGTTAGCACAGTTAGCATCAATCATGTTAGCGGATTTGTTACGAGGATTCGTAGTGACGAACACCGAAGAGAAGAAGAGAAAAACTTGCGAATACGGATACTGAAAGATATGGAGTATTTTTTCAAGATAGGATATATAAATATATATTTATAGTATTTTACCTCCTCTGTCTGTTGAGCAACTGTTTCAGACTTGATAAACTCCCGCGTAAGTTTTGCGCATAACTTCCGGTCACTTTTGTTGCTGTGATTGGACGAAACAGCGGAAAAGGCGGGGTCATTTTCTTCTTCGTGTATTGTGTTATGGCGGTTGGCAGACCGACTGCAAGGTGCGTTACTGCCACCTACTGAGCTGGAGTGTGGACGAAGATTGGGGGGTGGGGGAATCTAATGCTGTGAAATCACACCGATCTAAATTCAATCTATTAAGTTTGTATTTTTCAATAAAATAATAATTTGTTCTTTTACTTTACTAACACTATATTCATTTTATTAATTTCTTTTTGGAAATGTCTTCTTTCTAATTCATGAACATTCCATAAAAACATGCTGTACTGTTTCAGGGAGATTACATTTGTCACACAGTCCCGTTGCATGTTTTCCAATTACTTTAAGAGATTTATTGAGACCTGTATGTCCTATTCTGATACGAGTAATTAATGTTTTTCTAGTTTTCTGTTTCTTCCTGCTTTCCTTGTACATCCTATCTTTTTCTGAATGTCATTCAAGTGTCTTCCTGTATCATTTTATGTCCCAGTTTTCCTGCCATACCTTCCCAACATATCTATTTATTATCATTTTACACTCAACTTTACTTAATGGTATTTCATAGTTTATATTTTTAGATTTTACTGCCTGTTTTGCAAGAATGTCTGCTTCTTCATTCCCTTCCACTCCCACACCCAAAATCTACAGATATCTTCCTTAAGTCAAGTTTATAAAGAGAATGGTAAATTCTGTTAATAATGTCTTGTCTTTTTGATTTACTTGATTTGATGCTTAATAAGGCTGCCACATTGTCAGATGCAATTGCAAATTTTTGACCAGTATGCTTTTCAATCCACTCTAAACCCATGAGTATTGCTAATAATTTTTCTGTATAGACAGGCAAGTTATCTGTTGTTCTCTTCTTCATCTCTATATTTTGATTTGGGATGTATACTGCTGCTCCAGTATGTCCTGATTCTGCATATTTTGATCCATCTGTAAATAATATAAGTTTATCCATATATTGTTTATTAAATAATTGTTGCACTAAGTTTTCTGAGATATTTTCCCTTTATTTTTGATTAATTTATACAATGATAAATCGACAGAAGGATTAATATATAACCAATTATGAATACACGAATGACTAACTGTTGGACTTAAGTCTTTCATGCAACTCTGCATACTGAGCTTTTATATTACCAATCCAGCCAAAACTACAAATATTTGTTTTTTGAGGTTCCCAACATTCCTGTAATATATTATTCACTGGATGCGTTTGGTCATGTCCTTTAATATTAATCCAATATACTAACATTGGTTTTAATCTTCTAATTCGTAGAGGCATTTCCCCATTTCAACTTGCAGAGCTGCAACTGGTGAAGTTCTAAATGCTCCACAGCATATTCTAAGTGTTTTTGATTGTTCTATATAAAGAAGCTTCAAATTGGTTTCTGCTGCTGCCAAATAGCTGATACTACCATAATCAATAGTTCATTTCATAAGAAATTGGTATATATTTTAATTTTATCAGTATGTTGTTTCCTAGTATGTTTTGTTTTATTGAATATCATGCCTAAAAATCTTATATCATTAACCTGTTCAAGATTTTGATCATATAGTTTTAAGGAAATATACTTATGTTTTTTTTTTAGAAAAGCAGATAACCTGAGATTTTGTACTTGAAAGTTTAAAGCCCCATCTATTGGACCATATTTCAACTTCATTAATTGCTTTTTGCATTTTATTCCTGATATATTCCAGATTACGACCACGAATCCACAAAGCTCCATCGTCCACTAATAAAGATTTACCAATTCCAGGATCTACATTTTCAAATATATTGTTGATCATTATCAAGAATAATAATGGGCTACATACACTACCTTGAGGAATACCATTCCACAATATATTTATTTGACAATTCTTTTCATCCTCGTACTTCTATTGTTCTTTCAAATTAAAAAAATACATATCCAATTAAATAACTTTCCTTTTACCCCAAGTCTTTCCAATATTAAGACATGGAGATGATCGTGGACTTCAGAAGGAACAACTTTCTTCAGATATCTAATTACAATTTGTATATATTTGCTCTCTAAGTTGTGTTGTAGTGCATCTATTATGTTAAACTTTTATCTTTTCAAACTCTCTCTTCATAAATTTTTGTTCTTGCTCATATTTTTGATATTCCAGTACAACATGTATAGTTTCATCCTCTCTGCAGTGAGTGCTCACATTTTCCTGTATTGTGCTTCTGTATTTGAAAGAGTGAATAGTTCAGTCCTGTGTGCCCGAATCCCAATCTTGTTATTAATCTTTCCTCCTTTCTGCTCCTTCTTTTTGATCATATAAACCATCTTCCTTTTCTTTCTCCATCCCATCTTTTCTGCCATTCTTTCTTCAGTTTTTGTTTGATGATACTTTTTGACTCTGTGAAGTTAATGTGATTTTGAGATGCCTTCTTTACCATCTTATCTGCCATCTTGTTTCCTTCTATCCCAATGTGTGCTGGTACCCCAAAAAATGTTACTATTAAATCCATCCTTTGTATCCTGAATAATGTGTGGAGTATTTCTAATAAAATGTCAGGCCTGCTGTCTGAATGATTGTGCTTTAAACTCAATAATGTGAAACTTGAATCTGAACAGATTATTGTTTTTAATGGTTTTACGTCTTCCACCCACTGTACTGCTAACAGAACTGCTAACATTTGTCCTGTGTATACTGATAAGCCGTTGGTGATTTGTTTTCCACTTTTTATTGAAATTCCGGGACTATACAAGTTATTTCTATTTTTTCAGTTGTTTTTTTGATGTGTCTGTATAAATTTGAATGTACTGATAATTCTGATGACTGTTTCTTTTCATTTTTTGTTTTGACAGCTACTTTATTTGAGTGAAAAACACAACAAATCACAATACCATACTTATTTTCACTGAGCACTGGAACACACTAATATAAAACATAAAATAAATTAGTTGAACTAACATTTTCAGATGAATTATAGGAAAAAATAGATGTATGTATTATAACACACGTCCAAGTTAGTATTAAGTTGCATCTCAATTCTCTTACAGCAAATAACAAATCAGTTTTGCAGAATGGTGTCTAAATAAAAGTGCCTTAATTAATTATTTCTCCATGCACATCATAAAATTTCAAATGTTTGCATGCTGTTTTATACAGATGTGTGAAAAAAAAACCTACGCATTTATTTATAAAACCTCATAAATATATTCATACATTGATATTTATTGAAATGTGTTTACATTTCTAATTTAGTGCAGGTTTTTGGCATTGTCTTGTGTTGCATGGAGGGAAACAAGCAAAGTCAGACTCATTGCATTGTTTATTAAGGTTTAAAATGTGTTTTTACTATATATGACAATAAATGTCTTAGATCTTGTATGATGAAAAGCTTGGAAAAATAATTTACCAGTGGTTTTATTTTGAAGCTCCATTAGCTGAAGACATATTTAACATGAAATAAACAAAAAACACAACTATGGCAATTTTATTTCAAAACTTCAATGTGATCAAATATTTTATTAATGCAATAAAAATGTGGAAAAAAAACTAAGCACATCTAAAATACTAAATATTTGCAGACCATAAGTACGTCTAAGTGACTGCTTGTTTCCTGAAGTTAAACTTATTTATTCATTTTTGATTTTGATTTAAGGAAAACAAAAACAAATAAAATGCTCTGAGAAATAACTCAATTATATCCACACCCTCCATCTCAGGCCTCCAGAAGGTAACAGTTCATGACAGGACAGTTAGAAAAAGACTGAACAAATATGAACTTTTAGAATCTCTCTACAAAGAAAATGGCTGCAGGACTACGATTTGCAAAGTTGGAGGGATGGAACAATGGCTTTTAGACAGAGGAGAACAAAGTAAAGATGCTCACCCATAACCCAGTAGAGCATATGAGCATAAACACCTCAACTGTTCAGAAGCCTGGGATGCCCAGAAGTGGAAACGTTAGAATCAGAATCAGAATAAGCTTTTTTATCATTGTACCAAAATACAGAGATTATGTTCATACAGTCGTCTGAAATATGGGCGGAGTGCACGTTGCTGCTAAAAAGCGTGGCCCCTTATTCTTTATCAGAATACTTTTAGATAGAAAACGGGTACAAACCATAAGATGGATAAGATCTCTTCACATCTTGTCCTATCAGGACACCATTTGAGACATCAAAAAACTACCAGGAAGCACATTTATAAACATGATTACATGCATTTGACATCAAGACGTTACAATTTTCCAAGAGCACTTTCAGATAGGCCACAGCTCTAATGAAGTTGTTTCAGCTGGCAGTTCTGATAAGCCTGCATTGATGTTCTCGGGGGGGGGGGGATAAATGGTAAATGGACTGTACTTATATAGCACCTTTCTATCTTATCAAGATACTCAAAGCGCTTTACAACACAATCTGTGTCCTCATTTACCCATTCACACAGCACTATACTAGATCTCTACAAATCTAATAGAACAAATCATTCTAAAGAGACTAATCAGAGCTTTATCACATTCATACACTGATGGGACACACATCAGAGGCAATGAGGGGTTCAGTGTCTTGCCCAGGGACACTTCAGCATGTGACTGCTGGTGGATTCGAACCCCCAACTCTTGCATTGGAGAACGACTGCTCTAACCACTCAGCCACAGCCGGATAGACGAAGCTTCGTCCCTAGTTACCATGTCCCAGGAGAAATTTGATAGTCGTCTTGTATCCGAGGTCAAATGGGGGAGTAAGGTTCGTATAAGCCACAATTGTTGATTTTCTTCAGGCAGACAGTTTTTCTCGTCAGCCTTGAGTCCCGCTGGAAATTTCTGGTCTAAAATAGCCAAATCAATGGGTATTCCACTGATCAATGCTATGAGCCCTCTTCAAGGTTGATCCCAGCATGCTGACGAGTCCTCGGAGCCGCAGGTGGCCTGCGTCACCTCCATCTTACAGTTCAGCTCGTAAATCAGCTGATTTTGAGTAAGTACTTGAATAACGCGCCTACTTTTATAAGAGAACGTGTGTATGTGATGCAAGCATCAGATGGAGAAATGAAAAAATGTTGAGCCTTCATTCGATTACATTTATCAGCCAGGAACTGACCCCCTGACAGACCGCTTATGAGAACAGGCTGGATCAAAGGTCAGTCCCAGGTCAACCTGCTCCTGCTGGTTTCAGGACCGTACCAGGCACAGACCCACACCAAGATGGCCCCCCCGTGTATCCCTATGCAGGCCAACCCATGTTAACCAGATGTTATCAGATCCTCCATTACACAGCTGCAGCAGCCTGGAAGGAATGCAGCTGTGCATTTTGGAAGCCGTCAGTTTCAGTCAGTGAGAGGAAACAGTGTTGAAGATAAGAAGTTGGACCGGAAGAAATGGAGACAGAAGAGTCACTACGCTTGTGCATGTTTAAAGTGTATTATTTCTTTTTGTTTTTGTCATGACCAGAGAAAGGAGGTGTCTGTAACCCTGTTCTTTGTGCATAATCATGATATAAATCTAGTTGGTTCTTCTTGTTCAGACATGAAGTAGTAGGAGTATGTTTTATTTGTGTATGCATAATTATGACAGATTACAAAAAGTTTATACACAATAGGACTTTGAGGTTCTTGGGACTTTTGGGCTTTTAAGTGCACACTTTTTTTTTTTTTTTACGTCTTTCACTATGAATAAAAATCTTTGCCTGTGTGCACAAAAATGAAAGAGTGGCTCTCCTGGGTGATTCCCAAGCTCTGGAGAGCTACTTTTAACTTTTTTCTTCTGGGTTCTTCATTTGGCATGTGCAGAGGTCGGCTTAAATGTCCAAGTGTGACCCCAAGGGAGAGTAAGAGGAACACAGCCAGGACATTGCTGCTTCGACAGGATCAAGACACGAGTGTTGTCTGGGTGTTCCTCTGGATAATAGACAGGTCAACGACTTCCTGACGTCTTCTCACAAAGGCAGAGCACGGGTTAAAACCCTATTCATCCAGAGGGCATGCAAGGGTCGCAGGCTGACTCTGGTCCGAGTCAAGTAGGTGGAAGTGGACCTTGGACCTCCTGGAACAGGCTGGATCATTGACAGGAGAAATTACTGGTTGAGTTTTAGTCAAAGGGGTCTGAGGTCGTGGCTTTCTCACAGCAACTGTCAAGCACGGTGGTGGAGGGGCGATGATTTGCACCTGATCTGCATCAGTTACGTAGTCGTGAAGTTCTCCTTTGACCAAAATATTCTAAAGTCAAATGCTGTTTGACAGCTAAAGCTCATAAGACCTAAAAGTATATAATTAGGAGGAAAACATTAAGAAAGACAAAGTGTACAGTAGCTATGGACTGCTAACAAATCAAAATTTGTCTAAAAGGTCCTCGTCATCAGTAGCCTGCTGGTAGTTAATTAGTTAAGGGAGTAAAGGGTCCCAAATAAACAAGTTTCTCAAGCCATGAGCTTTTTAAATAATGGAACCTCTGCTGTTCTGAATTGTATAAAAGTGTTTAGTCTGAAAAGTTTAATGTTAAATACATATGATACAATAGAATACAGTACCTGTTTAATCACAGATATGAACTACATTCAGTCTCTTTAAAACCAGATTCAAGTACAAAACTCAAAACATCAAGTTGAACTTAACTTTCTGATGGTATTTCATAGTTCTCAAGATACTGGACACACAGCAGGAAAAAAAAAAACCTCTACAAGTTGTTTTTTTAATGTACAAGCCATTCAATTCATAGATCTAAAACGCCGTTTTTACTACATATGCCTGATTGAAACATAGCACCTTAAACTGCATAATGCAGAAACATGCAGCTTCGTTGTGGAATATAATTTTTTGACAAGTCTGCTGCATTTGAAATTTTGGTAAAGAAACAAACATCTCATGTTAGTAGTTGACACATAAAGATACACAGCTGCCATCTTATTCTCACACACCAAGATAAACAAATAAATCTTCAACTGTGGCTGTTTTCTTTACTGCTAAACCATTTTACAGAAAACAAATAAACCAAGACTAACTTCAAAACTGGACATGGATCACGTTAAAACTGCAATAAAAAAAAAACACATTTATTGTGACGTGAAAACGAAGCGCATCTAAAGACAGCTGCTCATGAAGTGAGCCGACTCCTACCTCAAAACTACTCATAATCTGGATTTATTGCAGTTTAAGGGGGAAAAAATATATATTTTTGAATAAAGAGTAACATAAGAAATGTACAGCTGGTTAATGAAGATGAATATAATCAGACCATGGAAAAAAAACTAATCTGAGAGGAACTCCATGCAGATGTAGTTGATATTACCCATTCGTCTCCATCATTTACCGTATTTTTTGTACTATAAGGCGCACTTAAAATCCTTTAATTTTCTCAAAAACCGACAGTAAGCCTTATGTATTAATTCTGGTTGTGCTTACTGACCTTGAACCGATTTTATGTGGTTATTGTGAACGAGTTGAATAAGATTCGACTCGACTTGTTTCGCTTAATGCGTCTTATAGTCCGAAAAACACGGTAAATCTTTGAGGCGAGTAGATCGTCACTGGAACTATCTTTGATTTGTTCTGCCAAAAAACAAACAAATGACAAAACAATGCAAAAAAATAATAATAATAATTCGGTGTCCAAACGGGAAATATGAAAATACACTAACACAATATGTACACGTTAAAATACACAACAAAGGGTCACTGTGACCCGGAGTATTAGAAATAGATGGAAAAAAGTGTGAGACAATAAGAAAAGCTACTTCAACGACTAACACAAAATGTGAATACCAGAACAAAAAATAGAGTATTTTTGAGAAGCAGGACCAAGAAGCTCAAGAGTAAGTCTTCACAAATCCCACACCAGCTTCCCTGAGCCTCATGTAAGTTAAGATTTCCCATGAGCTGTCAAATCTGAGATCCGTAAAGACGAAGTGAAAATAAAAAAAAAATCAGTTCTAAACAAGTCAAACTTATATACAGAAAGTACAAATCTTACTTTACCTAGCAGAACAGAAATTCATGGTTTTTAAAAACTACTTTTGCTAGACAGATGGGTTATATTGAGACAGAGAACACATTAAACATTGCTTTCAGTAGAACTCCACGTTTCTTTCAACAACCATTAAACATCGTTAACTTGCTTCTGTTAAGAGACGAGGAATCAATTCGGATCCAAGTCGAAACTCAAACCTCTGAATCTAACGAAAATGATTTCCATGTAAATCATCATATATTTTTGTTATCTGAGCATCTTCAAATGAATCCAATTTACTCTGCTACATTTGTGAGACTTCCTGGAAGAGCTTTGGAGATTAAATAATCTCTAATGTATAAAACGAAACCCTGATCTCATGGGGAACGTGGAGACATGAAGACAGTGACTTTAAGAAGACCTATATGTTTTCCATAAACTCGATTTCATGGGTCAAAAGCAGTTCTCGAGTCCCACTGTGCTTTAATTGTTCATCTCGTATCTGCTTCATTAAGAACTTGCTCCAAGATCTCATCGATGACGTTACACTCATAGTTCACTTGTTCCAAGTCCAGCGCTGGGACAAAGGTGACCAGAAGACGCCCCACATTCTGCCGAAGCTCGATCAAACTAAAAAAGGAGGAAATAAAGGCACATTCAGATCCCCGTTTTGAATGATTATTAAAAAATACTTTGTTCATAAGACACACAAACGTGAAAGAGGGTTTATTTCTCAGCTGCTTTACCTTCTGGACGCGTCCGAGTTGGTGCCAGATGTTGTTGACTCTCCTGCCTCCACAGAAAGTGACTGTGCAGAAAGTTTACCGCCTCTTTGTGAAGCCTGAGCATTTTCCCTTTGTTGCTGTAATCTCAACTTGAGCTCTTCACACTGAGCTGCCAAATTTGACTTTTCCTCCTCCAGACTGTCCAGCTGTTGTTAAAGACAAAGGAAATAAAAGGGGAAGGTAAAAAGCAGATTTACATCAGTAGAGCTAATGTTAAAATGCATCCCTGAACTTCACGTCCCAAACACAAACATCTGGGACAAATAGGATACGACAAGCTCTACACTTTATAGGTATTTCTTGTAAATCAGTTCTTAAGACTATGAAATGAGAGTAAAATCACGCTCGCAAATAAATATATAAATATATATATATATACACGCACACACACGGTAAATAAACTTTGAATGTATTTGTCTGAAAACTAATCGTATCGTCTTCAACTCAACATCCTCCTTCTCTACTTCCCTGAATTCAGTTTGTGATTCTCCTTTTTATTTCCTCTTTGGCAGCTCAACATTTACTGAACTTCGTAAAATAATGCAATGATAAACTTTTTTTAATTTTTAAATTAATTTAATTTTTCTGCAAATACTGTAACTTCTAAATCGGGGCTATTCAACTGGCTGGGGGACTTCAGTCCGGCCCACCAATGAGTTCATACAAAATAATAATAATTTGTGATGTTCTGGGTTTGGGGATCAGTTTATTGCGTTTATGATTTAATGCAACAAAATAAACACATTTAAAAGGTGATCATTGTGATACTCGTGTTATTTATAAATTGACTTTAATCAATGGATGTCCGGCCCCTGAGCTGTTGGCTTTCAGAAACTGTGGCCCCCTGAGCAGTCAAGTTGAACAGCTTTGTTCTAAATAAACAACAAACAAACAAAAACAACTTTTTAATCTGACCTGGACACGAATTAACTTAGAAACACCTGAAACTTGACAGCACTACGTTCAGCCCTGAACACGTGTTTCATTCTGAATGTGAAGCCTCACACGGGCTTTTATCATTTTTAAGGATCAGCTTTAGGTTAATGTATATTCACATTATGAATCTGAGATAAATGCACATTTAATAACAAAATCCAATCGGGGAATCTGACCTGTGAGCGGAGTTCATCCCTCTCCTTCTTTGTCTGATCCAGCTCATGGACAAGACAGCCAACCTGCAGTGAAATCTCATCAATGTCCCGTTCCTCATCTTGCTCGGTGACCAGGTTGGTCTTGGCTTCAGAAGCTAATAACAAAGCCTCTTTGTCTTTTATTAAATCGTTCACTTTCTGTTTGGCCTTTTCAAAAAGACTTTTATAGTCCTTCTGGTCTCCTGTGCCCTCGGTTTGGCAGGCTTGGTGAGAGCGCTCCTTCTTTACACTGATGTGGGACTGCTTCTGCAGCTGGACGTTAAGTTTCTGCACCTCCTGTTTTAAACTGTACCTCTCCTGAGCCGTGTCCTGCATGAGCTCCAGGAGCTGGTCTTGTTGTTTCTGAGCCACAGAAATAAACTGAGGAAGAGCAGAAGGTCCTGGAGTTTCATCGCTTTTCATATGTGCCACTCCGTTGTGCAATTTATGCTTTTCTTGATTCCCGTACTGGCCATCGTCTTCTTTATCTTGCTTTAATTCTCGCTGTTGGACGGGGTGGTGGTTCGTGCCTGGGCTCTGATCTGTACCACAGGTGCTACACACCTTCTCCCCCTCTTCATTGTGATTTTGACTGTGATGCTCTTCCTTAACTTCAGCAGCTACTGTCTGGGTGGTGCTGTTGGCCACTTCAAGAGGACGACTGGTTTCCACCGCTGCGCTCGTACCTGCGGCGTTTCTCTCTGAGGAGACGTCGACAGCAACATCGTCGCTGCACTCCAGCAGCATGGTGATGGGACTTTCCCTTTTTTCGTGCTTGATTTTGGTCAAACGACTGCTGGGCTTATTTGGCTTGGGAGTACTTTCAGTTTCCAAGATGACAATATCATCATCGGTGTCGTAAGTAAGGTCAGTACCATTCCCATCATCATCATCAGTATCATCGGTATCATCAGTGACATCATCGTCAACTCTCTCAGAATGTACAGTGGAGCTCACGTCTCCTGCTGTGTGCTCTTGGAAGCCATTTATTCTGGGTCTTTTTGGCATTATTTCTGAAGTAACAAGCTGCGTTCTTTTACCCCTGTGGAGAACAGATGATATAGTTTTTTTTTGCATCTTTACTGTATGAAACATTTATCGTCATGAACATAAAACTCATCATACCTCTGAGGCTCCCCTGACAGTGAGCATACATTTGTAATCACAGGAAGTCCAGAAGCAGTGGACGGGCTGCAGCCTACAGGGGAAGAAACCATTTTAAATCACAAACTCTTTCCCACTAACCTACGAAGACGACTTGGATTTTTATATTTTTACCAGCTTGTGAAGTGGCAGAAGAACTCGGCAAAGATGGTTCGGATTTAATAGTAGCTCCTTGAAGTGAACGGCCCCTCGGAGTGGTTGGAGAGGAAGGAGACTGGATGGGGAAAAAACTGCATAAATCATGCACTTATTCATTGACAAAGACCAAACTTAATTCATCTGATGTGGTAAAATTGAGGGTTGAATCTATGCCAGGGTCATAAAACATCAGTTTAGCAAAATGAAGTCAAGTCACATTGAGATAAATACAATGTCCAATAATGCAAACTGAAGTAAATAAGCTGTGCTGGAACATATTTAGTGTTCCCCGTCTTATAGAACTACTTTTATTTAGTGGTTCTTGATGGCAATAATATTTTTAAATCCATCTACAGTACAAAACAGTGGTTGCTTATGACATTCCAACTTGTCATGCCTTACACGCAACACAAACAAAAACAACAGCTAGAAAAGTAAGAAGCTCAATATGAGTATTAGCCAACAACAAAACTTCTAGTTTACTACTTTTGTGTTTGCATCGTTCAACTTTTTTCTTCTTTGTTTTAGCTCCTAGACCAGGGGGGTCTGCACCCTGCGGCTCTTTGGTTCCTCTGCAGCGGCTCTTTCAAGCTTTCACCAAAACTAACATAAAACTGAATTTTATTGGTGGCAAACAACAAAAACCGACTAGTTTTAGCTCCTTTTCTGTAATTTCTTTTGTAAATATGTGAATACTGGAACAAGTACAAGAGTAAAAGATACTCACTTTAACTTTATGCTTTATTTCTATACTTAATTAATTTTTCGACAATTAAAAAATACATAGATCTGCATAGTTTAGTTTTTGTTAATAAAAAAAAAATGCCCTCCTCTCACTCTCTTTACAAGAATCTGGTCTTTTCATTTGTCTTAAACTGTAAAAATATTAATGTTAAAAATCTTTAAGATATTTTTTTAGCTTTATAATGTCACCCCTACTGGCCACAAAAGTCTCCTCAACAAACCTAAAGTGGCCCATGGGCCACCAGTTGATAATCACAGTTGAAGCATGTTGTTGCGGCTCTGAACACTTTTGATTTTGTGAACGAAGGCATAAAAAATGGCTCTTAATCGTAAACGCTGCAGACCCCTGTCCTAGACCCATATTTTGATATCAGGCGGCTGAAATTATGCTAACAAACAAAAGCACATCCATGCTTCAGCTTTTTTTTGTTTGCTTGTTTTAACTCAAATACAATGCAATTGTTCAGTCAAGCAAGATTCTGGTCTTTTGGTCTGGACATGGTCTTCAAAGAACATAATTTATACCCTTTAACTTTTACTTTCTACTTTTCTTAAATAAACTCAACAAGCACAGCTGATGTGGAAGAATTCCAGTTAAACACAAACATTAAGGTAAATGTTAAAATGTCCACAAAGGAACAAATTATCTGAAAAAGCTGCAGCTTAGACTCTGCATAGATTCAACAAACAATTATAAATTAAGGTTTTACTAGACAGAAATACTTTTTGATGAAGCAGGTGCTTCAAGTTGTTGTGTTGCCGACTTAAAGCTGCAGTTTCTCTACGTATAGACGCCATACGCTGCTCTTCATGTTGCACTATAGTCAGCTGATCCTTGGACAAAAAAGAAAAAAACAATAATTTAATAAAGTGCTACAAACATTATAATGTGTTAATCACAGAATTACAGATTAAAGTAATAAACAGAATAAGTTAATCCCATAGCATTGAGAAAATAGAGGAACAACAAGTAGAAAAATGAAAAATATCAATTAAAAAAAGACGAGCTCTTACAAGGTGCATGTTCTTTTCTTGTTTTCTCTTGTTTTGCCTTTCTCTGTAAGAAATAAAAGTGTAACGGTGAGGATTCCCACCAGCAGCTGGTACTTTTACCTTAGCTCTGACATTAGGAAACCCTTTCTTATTCATGTTGAGTTTAAATTTTAAATCACAGTTTGGAAAAGTTATGGGGAAAATGTAAATAAAATATCACTCACTGTTGTTTGTATGTCTTGCGGTATGATGGTTGGTCATCATCAGAGTCCTCCGGCTCCTCCTCTACATGGCACCTCCTGCAGAGTGAGACAAAACATGAGGGTGGTTATAAACATGCTCATGTTGGAACAGATCATTTAGATTACACATTTAATTAACCAACTGTGGCGGCGCAAAAGCAGTGAGATGAGTCCTGATAAAGATGGCAAGTCTATCAGCCAGCTCAGCTGTGATAAGGGTCCACAGATGTTCTCGGGTGGGGAGCAGGGAGGGGGAGCAGAGCAGAGCCTCATGATTTACATATCCTCCAGGAGCAATTTGAGATAAGTTGGCCTATCCAAGGTCAAGCGGGGAAGCCAGATTAAGATAAACAACAATTCTTTGGGGCAGGCGGACTATTGATTTCATGTCATTTGACAGGGAGCCAATGGGGAGAAGCTAAAACTGGAGAGATATGATCTCTCCTACCAACTCCAGTTAAGACTCTGGCAGCAGCATTTTGGATCAACTGAAGACTTTTTAAAGAAGTATTTGGACACCCAGATAATAAACCATTGCAATAGTCCAGTCTAGACGTGACAAATGCATGAACCAGATTTTCTGCATCGTTTTTAGATAAGAGGTTTCTAATTTATGCAATATTACGCAGGTGGAAGAAGGTGGTTCTAGTAACGTTTTTAATGTGGGGGATAAAAGACGTGTCCTGAACGAAAATAACACCAAGATTTTAACATTAGAACTAGAGGCCAGATTAATGGCATCTAAGGAGGTCGAAAGACTGAAAAATGTATTCCTAAGATGCACAGGTCCAAAAACTAAAACCTGAGTCTTGTCTGTGTTCAAAAGGAAAAAGTTTAGGGTCATCCAGGATTGTATGTCTTTAAGACATGCTTGTAGTCTAAATAACTCACTGGATTCATTGGGTTTCATGGACAAATACAATGGTGTATCATCATCGGTGTGGCCATGTAATTTGGACATTTCGAAACTGAGTGAACCAGCACAGACTCAAGGTAGATGTCATTAAGTTCTGCCTGTCCCCAAAACAACTGTGTGTTTATCTGAATTTGCCCCCCTTGGCTGGCCTTGAAGGCCACCTTATCTGAATTCGCCTGGAGAACATGTGATCTGACGCTCACAACCTCCTCCCTGAGGAATTTCCAACTGATAACCAGATGAACCAGCTGAATAAACATTGTGTCATCATTTCAGGACTCTTGGATTCTCATAGACGTTATTCTTGGCCATTCCTCGACATCCCTCGAGAATGTTTATGGATCTCACCGGAGGACATTGACTGATTATTCCATCCTTATCAGAACTCTTACAGTGACCTCGAGAGCATCTATGAACATTGCTGATCGCTCTCGTCTCCCCGTCTGCAGATTGTCTATGTAAATATGTGCTTGTTTGTGCGAGGTGTTTTTTTTTTTATTATTATTAGAGGTTTTTTCTCAGGCAGGAAAAAAAAAAGTCTGATAGTAATTTTTTTTTCGCCTCCAACTCCTACATGTGTCCAGTTAACCACTGTTTTTGTCTGTCCAAACAGGTCTCACTTGTAAATGAGTCTTTGAGGCTCAATGTGATTTATCTGTTTAAATAAAGGTTGAATTAATGAATGAAATCAGCATAACAATGAAAATGTATCCCATGCTGTTTAATAACGTTACCTATTGGAAGCATATATTATAACTTTTGTGTATGAAGAAGATTCATTTACATTTACAAATTGGAATCAGTCAGATAGATATGATTTAAACCATTTTAGAGCCGTTCCTGTAATTCCAACATCATATTCAAGTCTCTGTAGTAGAATATTGTAATCAGCTGTATCAGATGCAGCACTGAGGTCTAACAGGACCAGTGTAGACACAAGTCCATTGTCAGAGACCAAGAGAATATCAGTCTCTCCGTTTCTGGTCAAGCATCTTCAAATTTGTTTTTCAGATTCACTGGTGTCTTTTATCACTCACACTCTGACTGGAATGCCAGAACCAAAACATTTGGGTATTGTATTTGGTTGTTTCTTCTATTTTAGAAATATGTGCTTTCAGGGACATAAAATGCTGCAGAATCTGCTCCTTTGTTAGATTAATTTGAAATGTCTTTAGCCCTAAAACATGGGTCTCTGGGCCATATCTGGACTGCAAGCTCAATCTATCCAGCTTGCTAAGAAATAAATAATTAATAACTTAATCACAATCTCATTATCAGCTGTAGCCCATCTCTTCCTGGCTCTTGCTCGAGGTGGCTGCTTCTGTCTTTCCTCCCCCGTATTTCCTTCCTCCTGCTCTGCTCTCTGTGTGTCTGAAGCGAATGTTAAACATCTCCTGAACGTAAATTAAGATTATGGATTTGGTATCGTGGGCGTTCAACTCTATTGATAAGATTTTTTTCAACAAAGCGACAAGGTCCTGGAGAACCTGCGTGTCCAGCTGAGACTCACGCTGTGGAGTATGTCATGGACCCGTGGGGAGTGTGGCAGCTGATGTGCCTCTCAGTTCTGTCTCAGCAGGATGTTGAAGACGTTTACATATTTGGAATTATGATAGCAGGGACTCTGCTTTTTGGCATCAGCGGGGCTCTGTTTTATCGACTTTTGAAGAAGACATCGGCAGCAGTTTCAGCCATGGAAAAGCTTCTGAGTCAGTGTGAAGGTTTGGTCCGTGCAGTAGGAACTCTAAATCAACTTGTTTACGAGCTAAATCGTAAGGTGGAGGCGATTTATGAGAATCGCAGGCCACCTGCGGCTTCTGGGACTCGTCAGAGTGGTGGGTTCGACCTTGAGGGAAACTCATAACATGGATCAGTGGAATGGATTCCCACAATTAGGCTATTTTGGAACCAGAACGTCCAGATGGACTCAAGGCTGAAGAAAAAAAATCTGTCTGCCTGAAGAAAATCAACAATCAAAGCTCATCTGAATCTGACTCCCCGACGGCCTCGGAGACGAGCCGACTATCAAATTTCTCCTGGGTCATGGGTACCCAAGGAAAAAAGCTTAATCTATCGCACCCCCACCCCGGAGAACTTTCTGTGCAAGCTTATCAGAACTGCTGGCTGAAACAAAATCTTTAGAAATTGTGGCCGATCTGAAAAAACGCTCATGAACAAATCTCAACACCTTGATGTTAAATGCAAATGTATCATATTTTAATTGTGCTGCTGGTAGAGATTTTTTTATGTCTCAAATCGTGTCCTGATAGACAAGATGTGAAAGATATTTTTTGCAATACCACTATCTACCCTCATGTTTCTCCCCCTTTTCCTATCTAAGATTATTATTATGAAAAAGGATAAGAGAGGCCGCGCTTAGTTACTAGTAGCAGCTTCGTGCACTCCGTCCATCTTCCGGACGTCTGCATGTACATGTTCTCGTTGTATCTCGGTGCAATGATAATAAAGCTTATTCTGATTCTGATGACAGTCAGCCAATCAGAGCATTCATTCCACACAATGTGATCAAGCTCAACTCAGACACGGAAACACAGCGACGAGAGGATATGCAGTTGATCCCTCCAGAGTGTTGAGGCTGGTTAGCTTGGTGGTACGCAAGAAGCAGCAAGAAAGAGTTCAGCCTTCAAATAGGGCAGATTAGTTTTTCCTCTATTAAAGGCAGACATCTATTTGATGTCCACAACTAGACTTCAGGTGCCACACAAACTGTCCTTCAGACCAAATCTGGTCAGGTACGAACTTAACTGTCTATGAACAGTTCCCATTGCAGCCATCCTCAAGAAAAACAAACCATGACAACAAACTACTTGTGGTGCTTTTTTCCTGCATTGAATTGCCCAGTCATAAAATTACCCAATTAAAGCGCTCACGTTTGTTTATGTTTATCACTCACATGATCACAAGAATTTTTGCAATGTATTAACAAAATACGTCAAAAAAGTTTACTTTTGCGTTGGTAAATTTTTGAAAAAGTATGACTTTCACTAGTCATGGTGACAATAAATTACTTCTTTGTTCATATTTGTTTTTTCTGATCCATCCAAAAATGTACCTGAACTGAGGATCAGGGTTCATCCTGCAGAACCATTTGTCCGGCAGCTTGCTGACGTCGATCCCATCTGGAAGTTTGCGCCATTTCAAACAGTCGTCACACTGCACCCAGTTCTGGTCTGGTCGCTTCCTGGAGAGTAGGTTGGGTTAAACAAAAACAGAAGCAGAATACTTGATGTCCATCACCTCGCTCTGAACTCACATGGTATCTTCCACTGGAACGGTGCTGGTTGGGTTTTCTTTGGACTTCCTGTAGCGAATTTCATTCCAGTACTCCTCCAGTTTGATCCCCAAATTGTTCATGGTTTTTCTGTTGCAAGAAATATAGTCACACAGCTAAGCATTCGACACAAAACAACACTTTTTTTCTATTCATTTTATTTTCAATAAACACTGAATAAAAAACAAAAACAACAAAAATTGTACCTGTATTTATCACTCTCAATGAAGCTCTGTTTGTTGTGGGTGGGATCCAGAAAGTTGCATTCAATGACCCCGATGACTCCAACTCCTCTGTTATTGGCCTGGAGATAGAAAAGGTTCACACGTTTTAAACATTTCAAACCAGCAGAAACACATAAAACAAATCAACAAGAAAGAAAACAAACAAACAAAAACACACCTTCAGCTGGCATCCCACTCGTTCGTAGGCTTTAATGAGCCTGTTCTTGTGATACATCATTATGCCATACTGGTCTTTACTTTTGGTGTTGTACCCAAACGTTATAGGAACGCGTTTTTCCTAAAATAACAGAGAACACATATGAGGAAAAACAACACTTTTTGGAATAATTTCATAGAACCAGTAATGAAATATTACCAGGAAAGTGGGCTTGTAATGGTCCTTTCTGATGCAGGCCAAGCTTTTAGCGATGAGCTGAGACTTCACCTTCTGACCCCGCACCATGACCTGCATCCGTGGCTTCAGGTACAGAATACTACAATATGCCTACAGCCAATGAAAACAAAGATATAAAATAAACATAAAAAAACTACAGTTTGAAGTGAAACAAGCAAAAATTATAGAAATGGACTTGTAGCAAAAAGAACCTCCTAAGAATTATAAATATTTAAGCCATTTTTCTGTTGCCATAAACCATCTCTTGACATTAAACCTCTAGGATCTATGATTTTGTAGCACATTTTAATATCTGAAAAATTATAAAGAATGGAGCCAGTACGTATTAATGTGGAAGCAAAGGAATTCTTACCCTCAGCGAGTAAATGCTTTCAGGGATGTAAGAAATGGTTTTGTTTGAATTCTGAGAGGGATCATTCAGTGTTTCGTAGATTTCTGAAGGAATTCGAATATCGTATCTGTCCTTCTCAAAATCAAACTCAGTTGTTCCTGTAGTTGTCCTTAGAAAGAAAAAAAATATGAATATACATTTGTTGAAACGATTGGTCCTTCATCCAAAGGACTTCATCAGTCCGAGGAGCCACAACAAACTCAGTCCCACAAGCAGCAAACCCACATAGTGGACCAACCAGTTTGCTGGTGATAAGATGGTTTCTGGGGCTCGCACTCTCCCCGTCGACTCCTCTGAGGCAGCCATAGCCAAAGTGGTTCAAAACATCAAAGTTCATGCTCAATTATCCAGGTAAAAATTCCAACAAAGTTAAATCAGGTCATCTGGATGGTTTCTTTTTAGTTGTCACCAGAAACCATCTTATCACCAGCAAGCGGGTTGGCCCACTAAGTGAGTGTGCTGCTTGTGGGATAAATATACATTATTTTAACAAATGCCATTAAAAACAAACAGAGAGGAGTGGAATAAAGAGCAAAAATAAAGGGACTTCATCATTACACAGCCAGGCACTCCGTGGCCAATACAGTTAACATTTTATATTTTAATATATGGCTGCTAAATAATAAACACTTAAATCTGATAATTCATGTCAAGACCAAATTATGCAACATAGCTTAGCTAAAAGAGGGAAATTTATGGTCGCTGGGCTGCTGAAGATCAGGTCAGTCAACAGAAAGTCACCGAGAATCAAAAAAAGCTCAACTTCAACGCAGGTCAGTCTTTGAAGGTCAACACACACACAAAAGGTGTGTGAGGCACCTGGGTTGAAACAACAAATAAGTGTATGAGTGGATTTTAAACAAACCTGCGGAGATTCCAGATGATGATCCTTGTGCCCGTTTTCACTGTGGAGGATGAGCTGATGGCATCAAGCTCAGCGAAGAGTTCCTCTTGTGTCTTGAAGAGAGAGTAGCGCAGAATGTCCTGCAGACTGGCTTTGTGTTCCTCTCTTACAGAAAGTAAAGTTGCAGTTAAAGAAAACTAATAAAAATATAGAAAAGCTGGAAATATGGCTGATTCAAGGAGTAATATGTCTCACAAAATGTCTGTAAGACTTCTTATCCAGGCCATAAAACATTATTCATTCATTCATTCAATCTTTATTTAATCACATTGAGCCTCTTTACTTTCACTTGTCCTTCTCAAGCTATATGCTTCCTTTTATGATGGTCTACTGTTGTCATCACTCTTTGTTAGAATCAGGCCTCTCTTGTAAATGAGTCCCTGAGGGTCAATGAGATTAACCTGTATAAATAAAGATTGAATGAATTTACAAGTGAGATCGGTTTTAGACAGACAACAAAAGTAAGGAAAAAACGAAAACACAAGGGGGAGGGGAGGTAAAAAAAATCTTATCTCGCACGATGTCATGGCCGGGGCACAGTGTGAGAGCTGGTACGTCTCAGTGGAGATTCCAGACAGACACATTTTGTGGTCACACCAGAGAAAGACCAAAACAAGAAAAACCACATTCAATGCATTGTCAAATTTCACCTTTATGCTCATTTTCCTTCCCAAATGAGCCAAGTTAAACACTTGAATAAAATGTATTTATTGCATTTAAAAAAAAGGATATATTTGTCTGAATTCCGCACTTCGAAGCAGACAATAGGTACAATTATTTGATTGGCTCCAATCTTTTCCAGGTAGGTCTGAGAAAGCATCCCAACACACAACATGTTCCTTGACTTGGAAAAGACGATGGCATCTTTCCCAAGACGCATGGAGCCTGATTTGAAACCATTGCCGTAGATTCCAATGGGCTCCAGTCCATTTACTGCTTTCTTGTCACTGTATCCAAAGCTGAACAAAAGAGACAAACAAATATCTTCATAAAGTTGTAAAACTTAATTGTAACTGTTCGTAATTCAAATAAATAAAATATTCTAATTTTTTAAATTATGGGCTCAGAAGAAGTCATTTCTTGAAGTCTTTGAATTAAATGAATTTGATGTATATTGTTTATGTTTCTTTAATTTCAAATTGTGTGCAAACTGGTTAAAAGATTAAAAATAATTACAGAACTATGCTAAAGTTCTGAACCACCCGTCATGATTTTAAATTAAAAAATGCTTTAGAAAATTATTATAAATTAACTTGACGGACAGAAACACAGCATTTTTAAAATGTGTGCAAGTTTAATGACCTTGAAATTCAGTATTTCAGAATCATCATTAAATAATCTTATTTTGTTATGTGAACTCTCTACTGATCTCTTTAAGTAGTCGTCAAAACAATAATAAACTATTTGCAGTGCTTCCCCTAACTTACTTGAATTGGCAGGGTGCTAATCTTTTCCGTGATTGCTGTCGACGGAAGGGGTGGGGGAAGAGACTGAGACACATCTGTGTTGTGCGTTATTTGTACCGACAGTTTTCGAGTGGGGGTGAGGGAGATGGATCAGCATGAGGGAAACAAAGTGCTACGTCTGTAGCTTTGTAGTTAGCGCGTCTGTATTGCGCATCACTATCTTAGTGCTACGTCAGTGCCGGCAGTTGTTGATTGGGGGTGGGGGGTGGGCATTTTGGTATGCAGGGTGCTCGGTTCTGTACACTGGGTGGGGCACCCTGCTTGTATAATGGTAGAGGAAACTGATTCGTATCAAAACCTACAGAATTTAGATGTTAAATCATAAACTTTCTTATTACTGATTTTAACTTGGCAAACCTCTGACTTTTGTCTGAACTTTCATTCTTTACAAATAGTTTCTTGGCCTCCTCCATTCCTGGTAACCAATTCTGGTACTAACTAGGCCTGTCACAATAACAAATTTTGCTGGGCAATTAATTATCTCAGAAATTATTCCGATAAACGATAATATTGTTTGAAAGTTGACATTAGTAATTGTCAAATTTAAGAAGTAGGTTAACTTCTGTGTAATACCTTTTTTGACCACTAGATGTCAATATAAGACTGTTTAAACTGAAGGATTCATGACAGGGAGCGAGCAGCGAGTCTCTTTAAGAAAAATGGGCGGGAGGCCTCTTGTGACATGGGCTGTCTCTCGTTCTTGTTTTTTGGTTTTCAAACTGGCAGATGCTCAGAATGTTTTGAGCTCTTTAGCATTTTTCACACAAAGCTTTTAATTAAAAAAAAAAAATCAGTAAACAAGTTCTCAGCTTATCCTGATGCATGCTCAATAATCCAGGTAGAAAAATCTAAAAAAAAGTTAAATCTGGTCCTCTGGACATTCAAAAAAAACAAAACAAAGCAAAACAACAAAAAATGTAGAAACGTTTCGTCTCTCGTCCGAGAGACTTCTTCAGTCTGAGGTGCTGTATTCAGCTCAGTCTCTTAAATAGCACCTTCTCAGAGTGGATCAACCAGTTTTGCTGCTGACAACCAAAACCAGCTGATCACATGCTCAAGAAGGACCATCAGCCTAACAATGGATCATTAGCACATTGATGGCTGTTTACTATTCACAGAGGGCTGAGTGATACTAGCAATCACAGCATTGTAAGAGGGGGACAGTTGAACACGTAGGCCTCCACCCCTGTTTAATGATGGACGGTTTCTTT